ATACCAGTGTTTCACACACATCAAAACTTTTAATTTCAGATCAAGGAACTGGTGCAGTATTATTGTAGTGTTAGCTATATTTCAGAATATGATGGGGAGAAAATACACTACCAAATACATTTTTCTTAAGTGTATGAAATAGTAAACGTGCCTCGGTTGTAATAGGAAAACTGTGAAGCGTTGTGATACACGAAGCAGGGTAAGCAACCAGAGCTCGTATCCTGCCTATCGCAAGGAAGCGCAGCCGTTAAATACGGAACTTTCCCCACTTACTCGTCACTGCATCAGTCATCTGCAATCTTACCACAGCAAAATTTGGTTGTGGTGATCCATTACAAAGGACACTTCTGACTTGCATTCATTTCATTCAGAAGCGCAGCTTGAATCGCTGCCATTGTCACCAAACCCCTTCCAGTTTAGAATTTAGTGACATTTTGTACCGCAGAGTGGTCTAGTTGATCTCTGGGATTAGGGCTTTGAACCAGGATGGTGTTTGCTTTTCTAAGTGTGACACAATACCTGTACTTTTCTTACAGAAAGTTAAAACCGTAATTGTCCAAGCCTGAGTGGGTTTGACAATCTGGGGTTTTGGCAGCTATTATGGAGCGCATGAATGATCTGGACCTAATGCTGGAGATAAAGCGACTTTTGGTTGTGAGCTATTTCCTGACATTTATGCTTTTCAGTCAAAATGCTGGCTATTTTATGAGGCTGCTTAAAGGGGACAACTCACACCTCCCTGCTGGCAAACATGGGTCTGAAAATACAAAATCGTAATGCCTTGTCCTGCAAACAAATTCAGTGGAACATCAGAGCGCTTTCATACACGATTCCGAGAGCAATTTCAAGTCTTTCTCAGTCATGCCAAGGAGACTGCTCTGCCAAAATCTATATGAAGTATTTAATCACAAGGCCCATTTCAGGCATCAGTTGCATGTAGCAGAGTCGTGAGCAAACAGCCCCTGAAAGATACATACGAACTAAGTAATCTCACCACGGGTTCCCACAGGTTTTTATATTCTTTTGTAGATGTCCATTACGGTCCTTAATGATCATCTTGGTAGTACCTGGGACTGGACAGACTCAACTGAAAGAATGTTTTCTTTGATTTCAATTATTAGACAGATACTATCAACATATAGGGGAAAAGATACTGAATTTCATAGTATTAAATTCTTGGTCATAAAAATGGACACAATATTCTCAAGATGCAACATCACCAACGTAAAGAATTCTCAAGTTTAGCATGTGCAACTTTTTCCTCTGCAGTTACAAATGAGCATTTTGTTTTCATAAAGTCTGGCTTTATTATTTATAATTTTATTATTCCTTTTAAAAGTCAGGTTTATAAGTAGTTCAGCCCTTGATATCACTCAAGTACAGAAGCTTACTTGAACAAAACTCCTGTTAAAATAAACTGAAGTTTGTATGAGCAAGAACTGTCGAGTTCTAGCTCCTAATCTGCACCGTGTATTGGCATGCTCCCTTCTTGGAGATGGCATTTTGCTTTGCTTACAGTAGTTAACATTTCTTTTACAGAAAAAACTGATGAGAGGCTACAGTTAGCCTAATGAGATGGGTATCTGCTGAATTGCCGGTGTCTATTTAAGGGTCACCATCTTCCACAACTATGTATTGCATCCTGAAACCTCTCCAAACGCTTAGCATTTTTAACATCCTTTGCAAAATTCTCCAGTTGCAAAAATCACTCTGTGGCTATTAAGACTACAATGGATTTAGAACTGACTTGCAATCTTCCAGAAATAACTTTGTACGCTGCGATAGATTACTAGCGTGTTAACAATGTTTAGGAATAGTCCCATGAGTTGGAAGAGTCAGGAAAAATAAGATCAAGACAGGTCTCTCCAGCAAAAATTTACTCTCTTAACAGCTCTCACTGAAGTATTTGCTACCGACAGAATCTGGTAGTTTATCATTAAATAGTAGCTTCCCTGTATAATAGCTTCTGTATTTGATGTTCAGTGCGAACAAGAAGAATGCGTAGGAGTATTCACTGAACCCGAGTCCTTCCACAGACTGGCAAGGATTTCTAGCACTGCAGAAAGACACTAGAAATTTCACTGTGTGAAGTAACCCGTTTCTAGGAAATTTCCCTCTCGACCTTTCCCAGCGAGGCCATTACTGTGCAGTTACGAGTACGTATCAGTCACTCGCTGGTTGAAAGTTGTGTCCATTAAATGCTGTCCTGCTGTCTCCCCGTTTGAAAAAAATACCATTTCTACACAACTCAAGGCACTTTCGACATCATTATCTTGAGAACTTTAGAAGAAAATGCTTTATGATGTGCCACAAAATGCGTACAGGTTGGTTTGTCGCTGTAACTGATTTGTTAGTGCTTTATTAATCCTGTAAATCACTTCTGTTTTATTCCAAGGATGAGTAAGAGAAACAGTTCAGGACAGTTAGCCGAAACCCCTCCGTTCTGGAACAGCCTGCCCGTTACAGAAGGTGCTCCTTAACGCGGACAATAGTAAAGCGGCTGGTTTGTGACTGTTGGTCACACAGTAACTTCAGGCAGCGTACTGACAAAGCAAGCCGGCCAAGGACACCAGTAAGCTGGCCTGGGTGGGGCAGTGGTGCGACTGCTCGCGCATCGGTTAAATAACGTCTGTACCTCCTGTCTTTCAGCCCAGCACAGGCCCCATTACAGCAGGGAGACCCGGAGGATCTCCGCGCCCGCTGCTGACCGACAACCCTGCACTGGCGGACGCCGGAAACAGCCCACGGCCTAACGGTGTAACAGGCGGTACCCTCCGTCAACCCTACCGTGGCCCGTTCGACCCGAGGCGGTATGAGAAGGGCCCTGAAGGGCTGAGTTAGCATAAAATGCCGATCAATTCCAGCTTTAACTGGTTAGGCCTCACAAAAGCTAACCCGTTATATTTATGAAGCGAGCGTCTTGTCACACACTTGTGTAACTTGAAGCGTTTCCACATGTAACCACGACGCAGTTCTTAGCTGACAAAGCTACTTATTCGCACTCTGTGCACACCTCAGCTCACGGGGGGG